GGCCACTGGTTTACTACTGCAAATAATGCGTTTCCATTATCTCTCCGAAAACTTACTTAATATTATACGATCAGCAGTCAGCACACATGTAAGTTCTTGGAACGAGTATAAACTTATGAATACATTCATAGCCATTTTCTGGAAGGCGTACAAAAAACTTATTTTAAAATGTATAAATGCATTTTTTGAAGTAGGTAAGTAAAATCCTCAATATAATAACTGCTGATATCAATTTGGATTTGATAACAACACTCGGAAAATTACGATAATATTCGTATACATTATGGTGCGAGAATATATTATTCTATTGTGTCAACCATCACTACAAAACTAAGCTAATATGGCAATATTTTAAGACACCTTTTTGAAAAATGTACAATCAACGAAAAATGAGAGAACGAATAGTTTAACTTGAATTCCACTTTTCATTTATTAGTAATCGTTAGTTATTTCCAAATAACGAATGTTACAAAAACTGAATTCCTCGAACTTATTAAGAAGTATGAACATTAAGTCTAACATGGATTCCAAAAGAGTTAATATACGTAGGCGTCTCTGATAACTCTGACCCTTTAGGGAATAATTCTAAAATTAGGATCACCCGTTCATCTAAACTCCTACGATAAAACAATATTTTTAAGCTTATGTGGACGTAGTAAATCAAATTCTGAGATAACTCAAGCAGAGTCCGTTGCCAAATAAAAAACAAATACAAATAAAAACAAGATTTTTGTACACACAATAAATGCCCTTCCGGTGCATAAAATCAAACGCTCCACAACGACAGCAACTTTCTAACAGTAAATTTCATTAAAAACCCCATTTTTAAAAATTAAAAGAAAAACATTGTAAATCAATACAAAATTACAAACATTGATAATTCAAATTTTAAATTTGTTCAAAATTTTGCAATACACGGTGGAAAGAACAATAACACCACTATCATGTAAAACTATATAATATAAAATAGAATTTTTAATTTCCATATTTTGAATCATAAAACAAATTTTCCCGTAATCTAAAGTATACATTGTGTTTTAAAGAAATGTACAAGTTCTACTGAAATAATTCCCAGTTTAAAACTATATAAATTAAATTATTATGAAATTTCTAATGAATATAATAATTTCTATAAAGTGTAAACATTTAATTATTATGAATTTTTACGTAAACAATTTGGATCTTTTAAAAGTTGTATTAATTATATACCAAAACCATCACACAAAAATCTTTAAAGAATAAATAAATACATATTACTTTAATTTAACTCACTATGATATAAACAATGTTACCCATTTAGTAAAATAATGAATCTTAAAAAGAAAATGAAAGCAATTGAACAAAAAGCTTTATTTTTTTTATTCCTTTTAAGTAATTACAAAGTATTATTTTTAACTATAACGACTTTAGGGTATCAACTATAAAAAAAACCACTGATTCATCAAAAAATAATAAAAATCCAGTTGTTCATAAAAAAATGTGATATGATTTTTTGATAGTTTTTAAGATCTTACCTAACCTCATTTAATATTAATTTTGGTATTTTTAGTATAGAAGTAGAACTCTTTTGTTATCATCATAAAAAAAGTCATTGTTACTATTAAGAAAAAACAAATACATTTTCCCTGAACTTTATTTTTTAACAATTTAAACAATGTTGTTTTGTTTTAATTCAAATAATATTTTTCAATAGTTTCGCATTATATCCATTATAGCAAAATGTATGTAAAAAAATAATTTCAACACTGGAGAAAAAAAATAAACAATTTTCGTTGATTTATTTTAAAACAGTTAATTAGTTCCAAAGTTAATCTTCAAAAATAATATGGCGTGTTGTCCACTTCAAACACTATTGGTAAATATTTGTTTAAAATCGTATTCCGACGTACACGAAATAATATTACTGTTATTTTCACCAGATGGACGAATTGTTGAAAAGCTGAGTTGATACAGATCAACGGATTCAAAATTTAAATATTTAATAATCAATTTTAATTGCATTTAGTATGGGTATTTAAGTTTACCAATGATTATAGGTCTAAAGAATAATGTAATATAATATGGATAAAATAATATACATTATGTGTATTCACTGTTCAGTTTAAGGTTTCTTTGTGAAAAAAATTTTCCAAGGTACGATTTTAAATAATATACATTTTAGGTGATAAAAAAAAATAAAAAAAGATATTGGAAAGTTAACAAAGTTTTCAAAGTAAATTAATATAAATTACATATTTCCTAAATTTTTACAAACAATTAAACAGTACATCAGTACCTACATACGTTTCGATAAAATCAAACATATTATTATAGGTAGATTTATAGATTTACTCTGATACTGAATATGAAATTTAGATTTATCTTTAAATTAATAGTATAGTTGTTAGTTATTGCCCACATCAAAGTATAAATTATTATACTATGAGCCAAGGCAATTGATTGGATGAAATTCCGACCACATTAATAAGATAATATAACAATAAATATTATACTGTAGCACTAATTTATGTTTGGTATTATTGAAGCATTATAATATTGTATGATAACTTTTTTTCGTTACACATTTTCAAATTTTCAACTAATTCTAAAACATATAATGGTTTTTTTCCTTTTTTTAAGAAAAATATTAATTTAGCCTACATAATATAAATTGTATAATATTATACATTGTTATATAGTACTTAAGCGTAATAAATCGGCCGACAAATTAGGCAAACGCCTAACACCTGAACATCTTCACCAAACATGTAAAGTCTTTGCATAGAATTTAATTATTGTACCTTAGCGTTATAATATTAAAAGTATATTCGGTGTTGCCCATGTTAAAATCGGTATTCAGATGTTTCAAAAAACCATGCCCTGGACCGAAGTATTATGTTGTGATTAACACCACAGAGGAGGATATTCATGAAGTCGTACAACAGAAGTCTGTGTGAACTCAAAATGTTAATTGCTGGTGCTGACGTAACAAAACAAATTTAACAAAATACTTATACCAAAAACTCTGGAACAATCAATCAACTGACCTAATGATGAATCGTAAGAATTTCATACTTTTGGCATCACCCCAATAAGGTCTTACTACATATCGAATGCTCGGAATTCGAATATTGGAACCCAAAAAGTACACAAATTAGAAAGTCTGGGATCAAACCCGATAATTAAAATAATACATACATTAATTTTTAAAAAAAAACTATATACATAATATATCCATATACTGGTTACATATATATACCTACACGCATTGGTATTATAGGTACCTTGGCATAGTCTAAATAAATTACAATATTATTATTATAAATATTTCGGTTGTCGTTATATAAACTAGCATTATTATTATTATTACGATGTCTTATTTTTAGATATTATTATATATGCATAAAATAGTCAATGTATATTATCTAGCTTTATTTATGTAATTTTGTATAGAAAATGAAGTTTGTTATTTTTCACTCATCAGTGCGATATGCCATTAATACATAATTGATAATGGTAATAATTATAATAAAGTGAATGTGTGTAATGCTATTGCGCAATATAGTTGTCGAAGCAAAACAAAGATTAATTGAAAAAAAAGTCTTAAAAAATGAATGCCATAATTTTTATAAGGTATAGTCAAGATATTAAAAATCGGATGAATAATTTTCTATGAAATATACCAATTTTACTCGATTACAATTTATTATTATTCTAGAACTCAGAAACTAAAAGAACGTTGGCATTTTTGGTCTTTGTTTCAGACTTTCAGCATAAAAAATTATTTGTGCTATTTATTTATTGTAATAATAAACATCAAATGTTATTTAGGTATTCACATTACACTATACGTCTATTCGAGTACATTCAATGATAACAATTGGCAGCGAAAACACTTGTTTTACAGTCTACAATCAAAACAATGGAATGTTGAATTAATTTAAGAATTAATACTATATAATATAATGAGATGAACAAAACAGAATTACAGAACGAGTTAAACAATGTTTTTATGGAAAAAAATGAAACTTCTCTCGGTCTTTGTTAGATGTTTTGTTGCAGTAATTTTTAGCACTCAAATTATTTTAATTTGTATCAAACCCTTACCAGAGATAATTATCACAGTAAATATTAACATACTGACATACTGTACGTTGTATGAAAAATAAATATAATTCTGTGTTTATGTGCTTTCTAGTTTCTTCAATATTAATCTGAATACTGTAATTTTAGTTCGCCAAATATAATTTTAAAACATAACTCTATCTCAAAGCAGGATATAAATAGTATGCGTATTGACATTATATACATTAATATAATATACAATTATTAGTATTTTAGTGAAATACAATTTTAATAAATTAATATTAATTATCAAAAAATTCTTTTTTGACGTTTTGCCTAACAAAAATTCAAACGCATGAATCAAAACTTCATAAACACTAAACATTTTAAAATATTATTAAAAGCTTCTGAAAAACAGTGAAAACCACATACATTAATTAATTTTAAAAATGTATTTTGTATCATATCGTAGGTACCTACTATCAGAAAACTAGAATTAAATTTAAAGTAAATATTTATTAAAATGTTTCATTATTAATAAAATTATTAGTTGACCGAAAAAAAATGTCTAAACTATTTTAGTTTTTTGTTCTTTTTTTTTTAGTAAAACGTATTTTAGAAAAAAACATTGCAATAGTTTTCTATGTCTCACTGTGTTACGTAAATACCGATTGGTAACTTTATTAATTCATTATATTATTTTAAAAATATCGCACGTCTCCGTAATTTTAGACACATGACATATCAGACTCTACAATTACGTTTAATTGAAAACGGAATCAATACATAACCTATACATTTATAATTTGCATTGAGCGATTCGTCGTACATTTTTCAAATTAAAAATATCCGTCCGCGTTTGAAGAAGAAAATAAAACTTCGTTTTAAAAAAAATACTTATGATATTGACGAAAGGGGAAAAGGACGAGAGAAAAAAAATATTGAACACCACTTACCTGTGCCCCAGAGCGCGACCAGTTTGGTACAAACGGAGATACTGTACAGAGTGAAATCTACTTTTCCGTTTATATATATAGGTACGTCGTGCTACGTTGTTACGAACACTACGCATCCGTTCAGGGTGGATCAGTCCGAGAGGGTAATATTCTGTGTTTTCTCCTCTCGTTTCAGCGTGCGCAACAAGTCCCACCTCCCTTTGGGGGTTTGTCCAAAATTCGCAACAGTTATGTCGCATCTGCGAGCAAAAAAAAAAAAAAAAAATACCCCATAACAAAAATAGATACACCTAATTCGTATACGATATGCTTTAAAGCGAATATATATATATATATATTATTATTATTATTTATACCGTGTTTGGTTATAGATAAGCGCGTGTTTTTAATAGTTGAAAAATAAAATAAAATTAAGTTTTCCTCTGTCTCTCTGTAAACTCGTATATTTTATTTTTCTACTAACCTTACGATAAACATAATTACTAAAATTATAATTTTCGGTGTTGTACAGCACTAACAATGATAATAATATTTCCCGTCTGGTAGATTTTGCAGCGAACAGAAAAAAAGATACGATTTAAATGTATTTTAGTTTTAACACGCTAACCGTATTGTTTTTCGCATACTAATCGAAGTTTTTTTTTATAACAATAATTTGTGATTTAAACTGGCTGTTAACGTGTTATTATTTCCTTGAATTATTAATTTATAAATTTAATTTCAGTTTTCTATTGATTTTATTTTTCATAAAACTTAAAATAATTGTGTACTGTAATATTTTTATTTTTATTCGTCGTCAATTATATTCGTGTGTACATATAATGTGTGCATAATTTTTTTGTGATTCTTGTTATTTTAACTTAAACTTTTATTTTGAAACTATTTCGTATTTTTCAAAAAGTTTTTTTAGTCAAATTTTTTTTTTTAATAATTAGTACACAAATAAAATAAAGGTTTATTTTAGTTATTGTTAAATCAAATGAATCGATAGGTAGTATTTATTTTGACTTTATTTATTATAAACATACATTGCGAGCAATTATAAATGACTATTATAAACATATTCTATGTATACACAACTAATATACAATATTGTGCACATTTTACCAGATCTTCTACAAATTATCATCAGTTTATCACAAAGAAAATGTGCCTCATAGAGTATACGGAAACATTATAATAATTGTAATGATTCTATTTTATTACATTACGACCGGTACGATATCAACTTTAAGTATAGTATTATTAGTATAATTACAATCAAAACAAACTTGGAAAAATGTTAAAATGACTTCAGATTTTAACAAACTGACTATTTTACTCACTTGAACACTATCATTAAAGATCATCGTTAAATATAACCACTAGATTTATCTCATCCGTCTTTTCAATGGGTTATAAAAAATAAAACTTTGTTCAGTGAGTGTCTCCATCAACATAATTTTGGGATAAAATCAAAAATATACGTTATCAGTAACGACGATAATAGTAATAATGTATAACTTTAGGGCACGAAAATTATTATTTGGTATAATATAATATCATTGGTTTATGTGTAATACTTCTGAAATTAAAATATTATATAAATTATTGTACCTAGTACGATCGTAGAATAAATTCTCTCGTTTAAACTTGACGATAAGTAATTGTACTCTTATTTCGGTCTATATAGCCCTCCACGATAGAAATACGAAGCGACTTTATTTTTTATAAATGTATTATATGCGCGGCGGAGAGACAGCGAATGTTCGTGTAGCGTCCCCTTTATAATGAACTTATAAAATATACCTACGTGCGTCCGTATATTATGGTTAGAATTTATTAATTTTTTTCGGTTTGATTAATTTAATACATTTACGCTATTAGTGGCATTCCATATACATGTATACAAGACTTTTGAATGGTAAGATGGGGATGGGTTGATAATGAAATTGAATGTACAGACTATAATAAATGATATAGCTAGGCAGGTGGACTAGAGCAATATGAAATTGGCAACGCAAACGAGTAACTATAATATTTTTTTTGTACATATGAATAAAATATACTAAAGGTACTTACAATATTATAAGATCTAATTTTCTTAAGAAATTAAAAAAGCGAGAAGTAAAAAGAGTTTTGAGACTATAGGTGTTGCAGTTTTTTTTGTTCAGACATTTTAGTAGTCTCGGGACATTAACTCGATCCTCGATCAAACTACATATAAATCTGCTAAACCAACGGACACCGAATCCGTGCGCCTTTGTTCCTGCAGTGATTCAAGCCTGAGCATTTGAGTAATACGACCGAATCGTGAGCTGGGTGAGCAATTTTTAAGAAATTATTTATCACTTGAAAAATAAAAATTATAAAATACAAAAGTTACGTGGACACCGGAATTATGATCGCTATATTTCTACACCTGGTAAATTACAATAATTCCACAGTTTGTGTCTCGTCACAAATACTGTAATTTGTCAATTGTGTATTTTAAAATCTTATTAAAACGGTATAGGCAATAGGACCATATATTAACTTTTGAACAAAAGAAAAATTTACTCCTCCAATATTATAAAACTACAATATACATTTTATTTACTTGTAGGCTTATAATTTGTTATAAACGGTCGTACATATATAGATGACTGCACAGAACGTTTTTAAGAAACATTTTCACCCTCATACTTTTCCTAGAAAACTGTATAATGCGTTTTCCCAAATCCAAACTTTTAAACATTTCACTTTTAACAGGTTTACAGGTATTACCAACGCGTTGCTAATGCACTCTATTCAATCATTCGAAGCTCGTGGTAGATCTCGTACAATTTTTTTTACTCTTTTCAAAACATAAAACGAACGTATATTCCTCATTTCTCACGTGCACTATAATACGTCAATATCCATAGCAAATGTACACAATTAAATCCTTAAAAGGTAAAACGGTTTTCGAGTTAAAAAATGCCTTCCATTCAATCCTTTTATAAATGTTTTAAAATAGAGATAATATGTACAGGGGGGATTTTTATTGTTTTCAACTCCAAAGATTTATGTATAATGCAAACGTCATATTTTGAATCACTATAATTTTGATATAAGCATCGGACGAATGAAACAGTTTATTTTAAATGATAATATCATTCACAAGTCGTCCACGTTCGACGGTAATTTTTTTATTCCAGAAGGAAAGAGGGTGTCGTTTAGATGCAAATATATTTCGATGATTATTATTATTATTATTTTTATTTTTATTTTTATTTTTATTTTAATAAGTGCATATAATATTATACTTCGTATAATTTAAAAAAAAAAACATAATGTTTCAACTTTATTCTTTTCGTAGTCTTATATACATATACTACTAAACTAAATAAGTAGGTACCTATAAAAGTTATGGACTTTAATGGAAACCATGTTCTATTAACAAAATAATATAAAGACTAAACATTATAAAATCCAATAAAATCATTAATAATTAACAATATTTATAATTTTAGGTATATTATACTTAGCATGGACAGTTAAATATTTTGTACGAATCAATGGAGGGTTAACAATTTTGATAACTTGTAATTGATAATATACATATTGGAATAATGTACTGTACAGCGACCGACGAGATGTCTGCAGTGTGCACCTATACTTTTATTTTACTTGTACATCGGTAGAAAGAACTTTTGTTGTCTTAAGGGGCTCAAAAAGGTATATTAGTGTGGGCGATTGTAAACTCCACCGATTTACAGGTAGTCGATTTTAGGGTTGGATTTATAACATGTAAATTCCACCGATACATTTTTTTTACCTGAAAAAAAAATGTAAACTCCACCGATACGTATTTTTGACCTGAAAACACGTAAACTCCACCGATGGTAAAATCCACAGATTAAAACTATATGTATAGTGTATACACATCAACTTTCGACTGACTTATCTTAAACTTCATCTTAAGAGGACGTCTCACCCGGATGTGTTGTCTCCGTCTTACACACCTACGACATAGCAAATTTTCGTTGAATACTTAATATGAATACTTAATATGAATACTTTACATACCCATAACTCACTTAAAAATTAAAATATCGTAAAAATCGTTTAGACTCTGAAGATGTTTCTAATTTTTTTGCAATAGAATTAATGTCTATAAAGCCCGAAAGCTCCAAATTAACACAATTTGCAGATTATATTTTAGACACCCTCAAAGCTGCATCTAAACATTATCAAACCAAATTTTAAAACCAAACAAATTTTTTTAAAACCTAAATTTTCTTTAAGTAATTATTTTTTTATTCATTTATTTTAATTAACATTTTTTTAACTACGAACTAGTGATCACTATTAATTATTATTATATCATTTATTTTAATATTGTGTAAAAAAAGATATAAGTATCTAAATATAATATATATAAATAATAAATCTGTACATAAATTATGTAGGAACGTATTACCTATAACGTAATGTTAATAATTATAGATTTTTCTATTTTTTTCTATTTGATTTTTATATGATTTTTTTTTTAAAATTATTGTTAATTAATAATTATATATTTTTCAATTTTCTATTTTTGCTATTTGATTTTTATATGATTTTTTTTTAAAAATGATTGTTAATTATTATTAATAATTATACGTGTTTTCAGGTCAAAAATACGTATCGGTGGAGTTTACATTTTTTTTTCAGGTAAAAAAAATGTACCGGTGGAGTTTACATTTTTTTTTTCAGGTAAAAAAAACGTACCGGTGGAGTTTACATGAAAAAAGGTCTAAAAAGGTCGCAATCGGTGGAGTTTACATGCGCCCATTAGTGTCTACTGATGAAGGCTGATTATTATACAGACATTATCCGTTGGTAAATATTATACTTTGCATATTCTAAACAATAATGCACCTATTAATACACTGTTCGTGTGAATCCGTTAAGGTATGGATTTCTGGTATGGCCCTCTAATATTTGAATTAATGCACCTCAAACTTAGTTGTTATTACTTAAGAGTGTACCTACACAAAATCCAGAAGATTACATTCATTCGTAATCGATCGAACGACTCAGCAGTGTCCCTGTCGTTAACCGCGTGGGTAGGTCGTATTAATAACGGAGTTTGAAAGTTATAACAGATTCTAAACTATTTAACGAAGAACACTACGAACAAATCCTAAACATTATTTTAAAGTTTTTCCAAAACATATGTCGTAGTACCTAAACAGTAGGTAATGATTAATAATACCTATATATATTATATATTGTTATAGTTGACGTCTAACGA